ACTGGTATTCCCTACGTTGTGGGACAGTTTTTTTGGCATACACACCTACTTGTTGAGACCTAATGTTACTTATGGGGACCTAAGTCTAGTCCCCTTAAGGCAGGGTTGTCCAAACTACTGTATGGACCGCGGGCCGCACCGTTTTTATTGGCCCGCAGCAAATTCTGAAAATGTAATTGAATATGGCCCGCACAAGAAGCAGTCCATTTATTGCGGAGCCTCTAGCTCCGGCTCTGAGCGTCTGATCCGGGCGGAAGAGGGCTTGGATCTGCGCCACAACAACCTGGTGGTGGTTGCAAGTTCCTGGGATGTTCCCCCGCAGAGATATAAGCGGTCAAATGTCGGTGGGCGAGCTCCGGCCGGCGAAACGGCTGAATTTCAGCACGGGGCTGTTGGTGTTGATGCAGGGGAATAAAAGGAAGCGATCCAGTCAGGTGGAACCGGTCCTGGATGCTGAGCACTGGGTTTTATAGCCGCCAGCCTGCTAAAAACCCCTCGGGCGATATTTCTGCAATAATGCTAAAAATTCAGAAACCCACCTGATGGATCTGTTCCAGGCAATAAAAAGGAACAGATCTGATCAGGTGGAACTGGTTCTGAAAGCTCAGCACTGGGTTTTATACCTGCAAGCAGGTGCAGCCCCTCGCGGGTGATATTTCTGCAAAAATGCCTAAAAATGGATAAAAATCACAAATCACAGTGACCTTATGCCCAATAGGTGTGTTAGAAATACACACATTATTGATGTATCAATATGTCACTTCTAGTGTGTGGCCCGGCCCTTTGTTTATTTTTCTGTATTTGGTCCTCACTAATCAAAGTTTGGACACCCCTGCCTTAAGGGGAAACGCTGTTGGTGGGTCAGGGTTTAAGTTTAGGACTAAAGTGAGAACTGAGTTTAGGTTAGTTTTAGGGTCACCCTAACCTGTGATGTTAGGGTTAGGGTTGGTGGTCAGGGTTAGGCTGTAGAAATTAATGCAAGTCAATGCCAGTTTCCCATAAAGATAGCTGCACTAGACTGTGTGTGTGTGTGTGTGTGTCAGCATTTAAACGAGGAACGTTTAGATTCTGCTGAGTAATCATTTAGCATGTCATTTCAGCAGGCACATATGTTCCATGACATATTTACAGGAAAGATTTAAATTCTAGTAACACACACAGGACATACTTTCACTTTACGCTCATTCATAAAGAACAGAGCAGTGTTACAGTAATGAATGAATATTCTTACCTTTTCCTCCATTTCTTCACATGAATGAAAGACTCAGATGAATATTAAAACTCCACAAATGTTTTATACAGTCTCACTGAATTAAAGATGTAGAAGTGCAAAAATAAATCTACATAGGTAAATTTAGGAAAACAGATGGGATTAAAATAAACAGAACTTCAGTTTTAGCTACATACACGATATACTGTATACTTATAGCACAAAAAGTAAAGAAATARATGTTTMGTAMATTATTTCTTTGTTGAAACACTGCTTCTTGGCAATAAATCTTATGTTGTTGGAAAAGCTGTTAATTTCTCTTTTAAATGGCATCACATTTGTAAAGAACATGTATTTGTTGGATGAGCAGTAGAGCTGAGTATGTGGGTTACGCACATCAAACAAAATTGCCAAACCTCTGTCAAACAGCTTATTTTGCTGTTGCTGTTGTTTGTTTTGAGCTTCTGGTACCCAAAGTGCTGCCAATCAGCTGCCRGCTGTAAGATTTATTGCCAAGAAGTGTTGTTACAACGAAGAAATAATCTAACACACACAAATTCACATACACACAAGAAAAATTAAAAATATATATTCTTTTACTCTTGTTTTAGTTCTGTGTTCAATGTTTTTTTTATTAATCAAGGCTTTGGATACAGTTCATGTGCAATTAAATGATCCATCTTTGTACTATTCGATATAAAAACTGCTCAAACCAAAGTGACCTTCCTGACCCCTTCAGCAGCCTTACCTATCCTGTCCAGCCTGTCGATGGCAACCGTCTCGAAGGCCCGTCTCATCATGGGGTACTCCTCCAACACCTCGTTGAAATTGTCCACAGAGAGCGAGTACAGGCGGCAGTAGGTGTCCGCTCGCACACTGGCTGTGCGCCTGCCGCGGGTCAGCAGACAGATCTCTGGTGGGGTGACACAAGAGGCAGGCTTGAGACTCAGAAAATGTCCGACTGGCAGATTTTGGGGTGTTAGGCAGAGACAGACTCTCACTGACACACTGCCACAAAATACTTTCTTTTTTTTTACTCAGCTTGAAAAAACTGAAGCCCTGAAATAAATGTGTTTTGCATGCAGGAGTTTTATCCTGTCAGACAAAAACATGACACCCCCCCCCACTCAACCCCGACAGCTGTGAGAAGTGTGCACTATATTTAAAGAGCTGCAGCTGAGCTTCATTATATTCACAACTTTCCCTTCTTTAATATCTCTTTCTTTTTCCTGTTAACTTCCTCTTTTTGAAAGCTGGAGCTGAGTGTTGTTATGACAACCACACGCCCTCCTTTCCCCTGGCCTGGAAGGTCGACCTCTTCTGACTCTCAGCAGGAATGGAAGAAAATGAGAAGTTGGAGGAATTTTCCTTTAAGAGCACACACACAGGATGTGGACTGGAGGACAGAACCTTGCCTGATTATAACTAAAGTGGTTTAGTAGTTTTATATGAAAACACAAACCTACACTGTAATAGAAAGTATCTATTTAGAATAGAATAGAATAGAATAGAATAGAATAGAATAGAATAGAATAGAATAGAATAGAATA